AATCTGATGGCCCCTTAATTATAAATGTTAAAATTCTCATCCAGGTGGCAATTCCCTAAGATCCATGCACATGCATGTGTGCACGCACCTGCTGAGAGATCCGGGTAAGTCTGTGAGTGGGGAGTCTTCCTTGATGTCCAGCTCTCATCCTTCCCTGCCTCTGGCCTCGTTCCTCTGGACTGGACATCCGTGCAGAAGCTCCCTGATGTGATCTCACTGGGCGACCAATTACTAAGGGGCTGTGACATGTTTCACTTAATTTCCTGGTCCCAGGCAAAGGAGTTAGATGGTCTGTTTGTTCCTAACACTTCCCTTTATAGATTATTCTGAGCATGAATTTGCTTTTTGTTTTAGTTTCAGCCAAAGGTCCAGGTGTTCATCTTTCTCCATTCACCATTTTCAGTAGTGCACGCCTATTGCCGCTTTATTATTCTAGTTGTACAGACCTAAAGAAAGTATCATCCACTAAAATATTGTGGTACCATTTTGTGTCCTAAACCAAGCTCCTATTAGAGTTGGGTTCAAATATAGATTGACATTAAGAAAAGTAGAAACTGTAAGTGGTAAGTCATGTTTAGCAGAATTTAGGATGTTCTCTCTGAGCTTCTGGGACCACAGAGTCTCCTGGGCTTTATTTTTTTAAATTTTGAGACAGGGTCTTGCTCTGTCATCGAGGCTGGAGTGCAGTGGCGCAACCTCTGTTTTTCAGGCTCAAGTGATCCTCTTACCTCAGCCTCCCGAATAGCTGGGACTCCAGGCATGCATCACCAGACGTGGCTAATTTTTGTGTTTTTTGTAGAGATGAGGTTTTGCGATGTTGCCCAGGCTGGTCTTGGATTTCTGGGCTCAAGCGACCTGCTGGCCTGGGCGTCCCAAAGTGTTGGGATGACAGGCATGAGCCACCGCACCTGGCTGCTCCAGTCTCTGTTGCTCTCCTCTCTCTACTTCATGCTGTGAGTCAGGAATGCAGGCATGGCTTGGCTGAGTGATTCTTCTGTTCCAGATGGCACTGATGGAGGTCACTCAGTGGCATTCATCTGACAGATGGGCTGGTCTGTCTGGTCCAAGCTGGTCTGGTACCCAGCCTGGCTGGAAGGTGGACTCAGCTGGTCCTGTGAGCTGGAGCACAGCAGCCTCAGGGTAGTGGGGCTTCATTCATGGCAACTTAGGACTCCCCAAGCGAATGTCCCAGCAAACCAGGTCGAAGCTGCATGGCCATATGATCTAGCCTTAATGTCAAGTGGTGTCCCTTCCATCACTTCTTTTGGTTGAAGCAGTCACAAGCCCACCTAAATACATGAACTACATCCCTCTGTGGGAGAGGTGGCAAAGTGCATGTGGCCACATCTGAAAACACGTTGGGAGTTCTGTAGGCCTTGGTCACAGGCCATCTTCTTCATGTATGCTCACCCTGGATGACCTCATTTAGACCTTGGCTTTAAGTAACATCTCTCCATGGTGCCTCCCAAATTTATATCTCCAGCCCAGGTGTAACCAAAGCTCCAGATTCTATGTTTAACAGGCTACAGGGTATTTCCACCTGATTCACAGACATCTCTTGATTCTGACCAGCTCCATTCCCCACTTTCCTTGTCTCAGGAAATGGCACCAGCATCCACCCAGCAAGTGAAGTTCTTTACTCCGTTTTTCCCTCAACTGGGCATCCAACCTATCAGCAAGACTTGGCAACTTTCCCTCCAAAGTATAGCTCAAACTTGCCTATTTTTCTCCGTATCCATTCCCATGTCCACACTGCCAGCATCTTCCGTGGGTTTACTACAGTCGCTTCTGGAGTGATTTTCCAGCCTCCCCGAATTCTCGTCTCCCATCCATCCTCCACGGCAACAGTGATCTTTCAAATATAAATCAGATCTTGCCAGACCCCACAGTGAACCCTCAGTGACATTGTTTATCTTCAAGAAAAATGAAGCTCCTTGCTGTGGCCTGTGAGGCCTATGTGATCTGGCCCCTGCTCACTCCTCCAAGCTCACCTCCCATCGCTCACTTTCCCATTCCAACCACAGGCCTCTTCTCTGCTCTTTCCTTCCCCAGGGCCTTTGCACTTGCTGTCACCTCTCCTGGACAGACCTTCTAAGAATTTTAATGACTGGTTCATTCTTCTTCAAATTTCAGTTCACAAAGCTCCTCAACTGCTTAATTAAAGTACTGTCCTTTTAATGCCACCTCATTGGGCCATTTATTTCCTTCTTAGAAATGATCACAGTGCGGTGGCTTACGCCTGTAATCCTAGCACTTTGGGAGGCCGAGGCAGGCAGATCACGAGGTCAGAAGATCGAGACCATCCTGGCCAACATGGTGAAACCCCATGTAAAAATACAAAAATTAGCTGGGCGTGGTGACGTGAGTCTGTAATTCCAGCTACTCAGGAGGCTGAGGCAGGAGAATTGCTTGAATCCAGGTGGCAGAGGTTGCAGTAAGCTGAGATCGCACCACTGCACTCCAGCCTGGGCGACAGAGTGAGACCTTGTCTCTACCAAAAATACAAAAAATTAGCCTGGTATGGTGGAATACACCTGTAATCCCAGTTACTTGGGAGGCTGAGGCAGGAGAATCATGTGAACCTGGGAGGTGGAGGTTGCAGTGAGCCGAGATTGTGCCACTGCACTGTAGCCTGGGCAAGAAGAGCAAAACTGTCGAAGAAAGAAAGAAAAAGAAAGAGAAAGAGAAAGAAAGAAAAAGGAAGAAAGAAAGAAAAAGAGAAGAAAAGAAAGAAAAAAGGAAGGAAGGAAAGGTCAGGAGGAAATGAGGGAGGGAGGAAGGAAGGAAAAGAAAGAGAAAAAAAGAAAAAGAAGAATCACAGTCTAGAATCATTAATGGAATATTTTTCCTAACTTTTCTTGTGGACTCTCTCTCATCTTCTTGTGATAGACTGCATCCACTGCAATGCTGCAGTCTTACGGGCTACATAAGGAGAGAAACGCGGAAAAGGATGAGAGGAAAAAAAGGGTGGATGGAGTTGCCCCCTCTTTTTTTCCATTTTTTCAAATATAGCTTTTGTTTCTACATGAGAGAAAATCTTGCGTTGAGAGAGGTCTTAAACTGTGTCCATAAGTGACAAAAGCAAAAGCAAAACCAGGAAACAGGGGCCCTTGCTTAGAGGTTTTTATTTACTATGACAATTGCTAAAAACCAAATATTTCCTTACTCAATTTCTTGGAGCTAAATCAAGGCTTGCTATATTTCCAGTAAAAATGGAAAGCTTTCCGGAGTCCATGATCTGCCCACAATGTCTTGGCTACTGCTATGGGTACAGGCATGGAATGTCCCTTTTTCTCTCCAGCTTATTGGAGGGTCGGTGGACAAATGTTGACATGGCCACGTTTGTGCACTACCTAGGAAATGGCGAATAATATTTTTTGAGACAAGATTTATTACTGGCTCAAGAGGATTACTGAGAAGTGTTCTACTCTTCATGAAATTCACAGAAACAAGACTAAGACCGAAACTTGGGATGTTTTCATCTGGAGCACATTATTCTCTAACAGTGGTGCTTCATCTGTTCGATTTCCATGAGCAAAAACTATTCTGTAGAAGTAACTCTTCCAGATAGTTGGAAATGTTCAAAAATGCTTTCAAATTTTTAAGCCATTTTACAAAATGTAAATATTCCTCAGTGTACCACCCATGTTCTTTCTTTTTCAAATGGGGCCTCTCAGATTTGGCTGCACATCAGAATCACCTAGGAGTTTTGAAGGCCGGGAGGCCCCCAGGTCTTGCTTCCAGAAGGCATGATGGGTGGCCCCAGGGTGTGGTGTGGGCATTTGGAGTTTTAAATGCTCCCAGGTGGTTGGATTGGGCTGCAAGACCAGATCATTACCTTACTGAATAAGGTTAGATCTGGGACATTTCTCTTTTCACTCCTGAGGCTACCTGGTGTTCAAGGCTTACGCACCCTGACTGATGACTGGCCCCAGCTGGCCCCGAGTCGTAAGATGGTGACTGTGAGTGGAAGCTGAGAGGAGGGACAGATCCTCAAGGATTCAGAGCAGATTCTGTGCTGTTTGCCATTGAGTATGCCTGCTCTTCAAGCCTGATAGCAGGGTTTTTGTTGACATAAGAGAACTATCTGATGAGAAGAATGAATGCACGGCGTAAATAAGATTGTTAACATGGTGTAAATGCTGGTTCACACATTTGAAAGTCAAGTGATCTTTTGACAACTGCACAGTCAGGTGAGCTGGAAGTTTTTTTTTTTTTTTTTTTTTGAGACAGAGTTTTGCTCTTGTTACCCAGGCTGGAGTGCAATGGCGCGATCTCGGCTCACCGCAACCTCCGCCTCCTGGGTTCAGGCAATTCTCCTGCCTCAGCCTCCCGAGTAGCTCGGATTACAGGCATGCACCACCATGCCCAGCTAATTTTTTGTATTTTTAGTAGAGACGGGGTTTCACCATGTTGACCAGGATGGTCTTGATCTGTTGACCTCGTGATCCACCCGCCTCGGCCTCCCAAAGTGCTGGGATTACAGGCGTGAGCCACCGCGCCCGGCTGAGCTGGAAGTTTTGATGAGATGGCTGAAGACAGAAGCCTTCTCTAAAGCCTATTTTTGCTATAAGCGAAGTTTACAGCATAAAAATAAAAAGACATCTCTGGGCAATGTCCCAAGTGAGTGTTTGTGTCTTCAAAGATGTCTGTGCAAATATATCCACAGAGACTCTCTGGAATTCCATGATCTTAAGGAAGCACTGATCGTTAGAGCAGGAAGGGACCCGCTCACTTTAGGAGTAACTTTGACCTACCTTCAGTTAAAAAACAGAAAATTCTCATGGTAGACTAATGCGACATCACAGATACGGTGTGTCTTCAGTTACAAAATGCTCTGTTTGATTTATATACATTTTAGAAAACTTATGTACAGATGAATAATTTAAAATTGATTGTAAGTGGTGTTTGTGGTTTTGATAAAGTTGGCCATGATGTCCAAATGTAATAATAAGCCTATGGGAAAGTCAGATCCACTTTTTTTTTTTTTTTTTTTTTTTAGTCAGAGTCTTGCTCTGTCACCCAGGCTGGAGCGCAGTGGTGTGATACAGGCTCACTGCAATGTCCACCTCCTCGGTTCAAATGATTCTGATGCCTCAGCAACCAGAGTAGCTAGGATTACAGGCCTGTGCCACCATTCCCAGCTAATTTCTTTGTATTTTTAGTAGAAACAGGGGTTCGCCATGTTGGCCAGCCTGGTCTCGAACTCCTGCCCTTGAGTGTGGTCTCGAACAACTGCCTTGAACCCCAACGTGCTGGGATTACAGGTGTGGGCCACCCCACCCAGCTGAGATCCACTTTCATCCTCATAGTAGCTTCTGACTCCTTTTCCAGTGTACCAAGACACCACGGAGGGGTGTCTACACAGACTTCTAATGTGGTTTGGGGTTGCAAACTGTAGTTGGAGCAATGTTTTGTAAAGAGGTCTGGTCCTGGACCCACTGTGAGAGACCTTAGAGAAGGGACCCCTTTGGGAGTTCCAAACAAAGGTTTTCTTTCTTTATAGCCAGCCATCCTATTAAGATTTAAAGAGTGGAAGGGGAACACAGAAATTGCATATTCACTATGACTCAAAAAAGAAGAGAATTTTGCACCAGTGATATTCAAATATGTCATCTGAGGCACTTCAAAACTCCTTAAACGGATTAAAAAGTATTTGTCCTCTAATATTTTAGTGTCTCTTCTGCCAAAAACCAAATTGTTTAAATTTGGTCCCATAAGAATTATGGTTGTATTTCAGCTCTCAATGTGCCCTAATTCTAGGACTTTCCTGGAATGAAGGACACAGTTATCTTCGAGACTGGCTTTCAGAGCTCACCCCCTTCGATGATGAGGAGGCAGGCGGCGGGGAGGAAGGGCGGCTCGGGAGGGTGTGCGTTCTCTCGAAGGAGTCTTCTTCCTGTGCACCTTCCTCATCTTTAGACACTCAGGCAGTTGACGGGCTGAGCACTTCTGGCTTAAGCTTTTGAAAAAGCAGCAGCGGAGTTTCCGCCTGTAAATAGTATCTGTAAAACCATGAGCGGCTGGGAAGCCCACGTCTCAGGCCACGGGGGCTGCGTCTCCCCTCTTGAGGCAGCGCAGAACAAAAATCCCCAGGGCCACCAGGGGGATGCACATCGTGGAGGAGGCCACAAGCAGCCCAATGGCAGCCAGTGCGTAGGCCGGGTAGTCTTTGGTCACGAGCTGGCCCTGAAAGGAGAGACTGAGTGTCAGCAGAGAACGCCTGCTGAGAGCACTGCCCCTGGCCTCAGGGCACCACCATGGTGGGGAGGCGGTGTGGTGTGGGCAGAGAGCACGTGGGGCCAGCATCCTTGCTCCTGGGGCCCCTGGCTCTGCAATTAACTAGGAAGTGTGCCAGGAGCCTAAACGCCCTCACCTTCTTTCTCTGCCGTAAACTAGGAATCATAAGACCTACTTGAACCAGTGGGTGTAGAGCTGTGGTTCGGAGATACCCATAAAGAATAACCATGGGAATAATCAAGCACCTTACGTCTGAGGCAACTTTCAGGGCACCTAAAATGTAGGGGGCTATTCTTAGCCCAGAATGGAACTTTCTGTGAAGGTAGCAATGTTCTGTATCAGTGCTGTCTGCCGTGGTGGCTGCAGAGGGGAGTGCTGCCCAGGAGGCGGGAGCTATCACCTTTGCAGGGGGAGTTTTTCTCAGCTTCCAGGGGACAGGGGGATGGGGGAGCTCCTCTCGTCCCACTGCAGCACAGACCTAAAAACTCACAGCCCAGCTCCTCTGTCCTGGGCTATTTCTAAAACACCTCGGTCATGTTTCCACGTTATGACAAAAAACCTACCCACATCATGGAAATGGTTTCCTGATTTTGGAGAAGTAATGGCCTATGCTTTTGAGTGACCATGGGGGCCCAGCGCCAGCCCTACAGAGATGGCAGATACCTGGGAGGCCTCCCAGGCCTGGTATTTCAGGGTCCCCGCGAGGATGTAGTCGCTCAGGTAGAAGACAAAGAGGCTGACGATCAGCAGGGGGCTCACGCCAGCCCACATCACCTTCCAGTACCAGCTCAGAGCTCGGCCGGTCATGGCCTTAAGGTCACTTTCAAATCTATTTGGAAAACAGGGAGAGGAAGTCTGGATTATCCATGCTGCAGAGGTGGGGGCGTCCAGCTTGCCCATCCCTATTCACAAAAGAACATATGTTCTAGGCAGTAACTGATGTCTGAGGATGGCCACTGGGCTCCTCTGTGACATCTTCTTGAGAGATGAGGGCTATGGTGGGGAGGGAAGAAGAGCTGAGGCTGCCCGGGAGAGGTGACGGAGCAAGGGCCCCACAGATAGGTGGACGTCAGAAGACGCCTTCCTAGTGCCTGCCTTCAGATGAAGGCTGCTGGCATAGCCCAGAGGGCAGCTTCCAGGAAGGGTGGGCACAGGCAGCAGGGAAGGGACATCTGTCAGAATGGTCATCAATGAAGGAGCTTCTCAGGAGGCTTTGCTTACCTGCCCCACTGCCAATCAGTGACTCCCTTGCCCAATAGAAATGCCACAGAGCAGAATCACTTGGTCCCTTGAAACCAGAGCAGGTTTTCTGGGACAGAGGAAGAGCCAACCTCGGACTGAGGGACCACAGCCCTGGCCTGTGGGAGCTGGTCTGGAGTGGCCAGGGCAGTGAGGCCCACAGGCGTTGTCCACAGCCACCATCTCCATCTCCATCAGGCCGGCAGCTCTCTCCTTTCCCTCTTCTTTAAAATCTACATTTAGCAGCCGCACAGCCCAGTTTATCATAGACTCGACAGGCTCGGTACGTGTACTTTTGAATAACATACGCACAGTATATAAAGGATCGTTGGCATTTTGGGAGATGTTGGCCCAACAAATCTCCCCATTTCACAGAGGAGGAACCAAGGCCCAGGGCTGTGATGCCACCTGCCTCAGGGCTTGGAAAAGACCAGGCCTAGAAGCCAGGTTGGCCTCCCACCTCCAGTCCAGAGCATTCAAACCTGCTCCCTGCAGCGGGAGAGGCAGCCTTGGCGGGAGGGGCTGCGGTGGTGTGGGTGTGACGTCACCAGCTGCAGCCGCAGCCCCTCCCTGTCTGGGACCAGCTGCATGTCCTAGGTGTCCATGCAAGGCTGTGTGGAGACCACCACCACCTGCCCTTTGCTGCTGCTGATGTAGCTGGACTCGAGGCTCTAGGCCATGAAGGCTCATGTATATGACATGAAAACCTGGGGCTCTCAAAATCAAACAGGTGAGAAAGTGTTGGGGGTCCTCTTGCCCCTTTATACCCTCATAGCCCCCCACTTTCATGGATGGAGAAAGTTGGGAAGAGCTGACTGCAGAAAAGCCCCAGGACACTGTTGCCGGGTGGTCACTAGATGGCGGTGTGAGCAAGCAAAGCACTCTCCCAGCCACTGACACTGTCGGTCCACCTATCTCCCATCACCAGCCCCTTTTGATGCACTTGTGCCCCTCACCCATCCAGTGACCTCCAGTGGGCCCCAGGTTCTGTTCCTCTCTCTCCAACCTCTTTTATCCTGAAACACCCTCTCAGTGACCAATCTTTCTCTCTCTCTAGACTGGCATTTCCAGGTGACCAGGGATTTTCCCAGTTTTAGCACTGAAAGTTCCATGTCCCATAAAACCCCTCGGTCCTGGGGAAACAGGGAGAGTTGGTTCCCCTAACACTAGTGTCCTCAAAATGTTAGTAGCTGGGGGTGGGAGTGGGGTGAGAGGAGGGTGAAAAGGCATTCCTTCACTGAGTAAGTCTGGAAATGCTGCAATTCTAACCCTCTCTTTGGGATCCACAACTGTCTTTAAGACTCTGAGAAGTCCCACAGGAAAGACATCAATTTGGCGTTAACTTACATCCTGAATGAATGGCTCCTGGGAGATCACTCAGCATGGCATGGGACCCTGGCCTTTCCAGGGACACAGCAGGGAACGCTGCTTCAGGGATGCCTGCCTCCCAGCGTTGTCAGTGTCTCCCTCTCCACCCCAAACCAGGGTGGAGATGAAAAAGACTCGGGAAGAGGGCAGAAGACAACGTGGCACAGCCTCCTCGCCCCAACCAGGCTCCCACTTGAGCAGCACTGCCCAAACTGTGATGTGCCTCAGGCCCCCTGGACATATTGTGAAGACACAGAATCTGCTTCAGCAGAACAGGGTGAGCCTGAGCTTCTGCAGTCCCAACGAGCGCCTTGCTGCTGCTGCACCTGCTCTCGGAATCACACCTGGGGTAGCAAAGCTCTCTAGACCAGTGGTTCTTAAAGTGTGGGCACCAGCCTCACCTGGGAACCTGCTAGAAATGTAAATTCCTGGCCCTCCCCTGGACCTGCCTGATTAGAACCTTGGGTGTGAGTCCCGCAGCCGTGTTTGACCAGCCCGGGGGGACTCTGAGGCATACTCAAGTTGGGAGGCTGTTCTGGACCCGTGGCTCTTGCCCCAGCTGCACATTCCATCACCTGGGGAGAACGAAAACATTCCAGTCCTGTGCTGTGTGCTGGGATTGAGAACCTCGCTGACTACATTTTCAATCTGCCAAATTTTCTAAGGTGTAAGTTATCAACTGGACTTTGGTCAGGGTTCTTCGAAAATACTGATGTTGGCCAATGATCAGAGCGTCCAGTCCCTGGTGGTACAATTCCCTGCCCCAGTAAGCTGTGGAGGTCCAGCAGGGTCAACCTAAAACATCCTATGATACAAAGCAAAAGTCCGGGGAATAGAAAGATATTCGCTGAAGCAAACTGAGGGTGGAATTGAGGCAGAACATTAGCTGAGATTTGCAGGCAAAGAACAAACGTTGAGTAACAATGCCAAGCTTAAAGAAGAGGGGAAGATGCACATCAAGAAATAGCTGTTCCCTTCAGGGTGTGGCCTCTGTGGCTGTCTTTTCCCTGTGCAGCTGGGGGTCCTGGGCCTCCTCACCTCCTCAGCCCGTACACGTAGCACACGGCGATTGTCTCCACCAGCACGATGAGCAGCAGGGACAGCGTGGCCGCGTAGTCATTGAATATGTCAAACCAGTAGTTCCCGGCCTCCGTGGTGAACACCATGCCGATGGCACAGCTGATGAGGCACACCAGACCTGCGGGCCACAGACCAGCTGCTCACCCGCCCGAGACCCCCGCCTACTGCTTACCAGTTCTCTACAGGACAGCGGGGCCATCAGCCCTTAGGGGACTTTGGCTGATTGGTTCATCCACATGGGTTGGGAGAGCTGTCGTGGTTTGGACTCTCTGAAGGTGTGTGCTGTGTGGGGGGGTGGGCAGGGGACACAGTGGTGTCCCAAAGCGTGTCGGCAGGAATCACTGATGTTGACTCACTGAGCTGCCCTGCAGGGGTGGCAGAGCTTCAAGTTCAATGAACAAGCAGATGCACTGGGCACTGCTATCCCAGGATCCTGCTCAGACTGTGGGTCTGCAATTATAACCCTGTTTATCTCAACAACTCAGCCCTGGAGCTTATGAGAAGTGAATCAGGGGAAGAGGCTTGAATATGGGGTGGCCCCGTGAGGCCTTCCTATTCCTATAGAGGACTTGCATCCACCCAGAAGGGGGTGGGTGGGGAAGACACAAATATCCACCCAGATCCTCCCACGTGCCAGGCACTTACATTGGACACTTAGGCCTCTGAGGCAGGTGTCTGGAGCCCCCTTTCACAGATGGGAAGGCAAGGCTCAGAGATGTCCAAGGCTCTCCCAACATCCCATAGCATGCCAGTGGCAGTGTGAAGATTCAGAACCACGCCCTTTAGCCTCCAGAACCTGGGCGTTCATCCCAGGCCCCTCCAGCTGCCTCCCCTGGGGACCCCATGCGTGTCTGAATCTAGAGCCCACACCTGCCCTTTCCAACCCACACCATACACTGCCAGCCACTGAGCCCTCCTGCCATCCCGATGGGCACACACAAGGAGAAAGGGGCCACGTGCTGGCCAAGGGCTACGGGCATACCTAGTGTTGGCTACAGAGACTGGGCCCGAGGAGGCAGGCTACATGCTGCAGGACTCTGAAGAGGCAGGGGCAATCCAACTGGGGTGGTCGGGGCTTGAAGGAGATGGGCTGGGAGCTGGGTGTGATTTTTTCAAATGCAGAGGTGTGGGCCACAGGGCCTTCAAGGCACTGCCTGGTTGGTGGAGCTGATGGGCCAGGGAGTGAAACCATGAGAGATGTAATTGGGAAAGCCAGTTCAATTCCCTAAGAACCGAAATGTCCATCAACAGCAGAATGGATAAAGAAACTGTGGTATGTGATCTTACAATGGATTATTATATAGGCAGAAAAAGGGCAGGCGATCACCTAAACATGAGTGGACCTCACAGGTAGATTCTGAGTGAAGACAGTAGACACAGAGTGTGTACAACAGGACTTCATTTATATGAAATTCAACAACAGGAAGGCCGGGCGTAATGGCTCATGCCTGTAATCTTTGGGAGGCTGAGGCAGGTGGATCACTTGAAGTCAGGAGTTCGAGACCAGCCTGGCCAACATGGGGAAATCCCATCTCTACTAAAAATACAAAAATTAGCCAGGCATCATGGCATGCATCTGTAATCCCAGCTACTCAGGAGGCTGAAGCATGAGAATAGCTTGAGCCTGGGAGGCAGAGGTTGCAGTGAGCCCAGATCACACCACTGCACTCCAGCCTGGGTGACAGAATGAGACTTTGTCTCTAAAAAAACAGGAAAAAAAAGAAGAGAAGTGACCTGCAGGGGTGCATACTGCCTGGGAAGGCGTGTGAAGGAGCTGACTGGGGTGTGGAAAATGTTCTGTTTCTTGACCTAGGTGATAGTTACTTGGGTGGATACCTATGTAAAATCCACTGAGTCTGTACTTAACAAATGGACACTTTATAATGGTCATACTTCAGGCTGGGTGCAGTGGCTCACACCTATAATCCCAGCACTTTGGGAGGCCAAGACAGGCAGATCACCTGAAGTCAGGAGTTTAAGACCAGCCTGGCCAATATGGTGAAACCGTTTCTACCAAAAATCAAAAATTAGCCAGGTGTCATAGTGTGCACCTGTAGTCCTAGCTACTTGGGAGGCTGAGGCAGGAGAATCGCTCAAACCCAGGAGGCAGAGGTTGCAGTGCGCTGAGGTCACACCACTGCACTCCAGTCTGGTGACAGAGCAAGACTCTTGTCTCAAACAAAAACCATATGTATACATATACGTGTGTGTGTGTGTGTGTGTGTGTGTATATATATATATATGAGATGCACTTATATATATATATGAGATACACTTCAGTGAAAATGAACAAAGACAAAAGCAAGTTCTCTCCTAGCCTGTAGAACTTTGAATGTCAGGTTGGGGAGTCTGGCTTTCTCCAAAGTTGGGGTGGCTCCTTCACTTCCCTGCTATGTGGAAAGTGGGGGACACAGGGTGAATCATGTGGCCCGGGTCCCGGGTTGTGAGAAGATGTGGCAGGACCGTGGTGAGGTGGCTACAGCCTCCTGTAGCCACCTCAGCCAGCACACGACCCCCGAGGGAAGTCTCCCCTGCTCACCCTCACACTCTGGCCCTCCTGACCCCTGCCACCTCCACTGGCTGGCCCGCTGACCTGAGATGGCCTCCTTGGGCAGGTGGCTGGAGATGATCTTGCTGTCAGTCAGAGGGGTGAGGATGGCTGCTGTGTTCCCCAGCATGCTCCCAATGCCCAGCATCAGCAGCATGAAGAAGTAGAGCACCGACCACAGCTGCGACACCTCCATGTTTTTAATGGCCTCTGTGTAGACGATGAAAGCCAAGCCAGTGCCCTGGACAGCCTGCTCAGGGTGAGAAGACACCTGTTACATACATGAGGGACTTACAGTTTTATTCACACACTCAGTGCTAAGCAACGTGCGCGACCTTGGAAGTGGCCATGAGAAGCCACATTCTAAGGCTGGAGCTTCCATCTGCAGACCAGCCCCTCACACTCAGCTGGGCTGAAAAGAAATGGGAGCTGCTGGGAGCTCATATATGCAAATCACGTGACAATTTGCAGCCAGCCTCCAACACTGAGCTCCCCTCTCCTGCCCCAACTTATGTAAATTCTGGATGAAAGGTAATAAAACAATGGAGAATTTCTGCTTCTAATGTGATGACTGACCAGGTGTCCTGAAACTTCCATGGCTGGGACCTGAGGAGGGAGGGCGGGGCCAGGGCAGCAGGAAGCAGAATTGTGGGGAGCCAGCTTGGTCAGCAGACAACCAGGAGGGGCAGGTGCTCAGCGGTCAGGTCCCTGTGCTGGTAATGCTGTTGTGGAGATATTAAACTACGGAAATGGAGGCTGGAACGCCTGCTTAAAAACAAATCCCCCAAGGGGGTCACAAGAGGTAATAGGTTGTGCATACTCCCTGACTACCCACAGAAGAGCAAAAACAAGCCCTTCCTGGGTAGAAGCCCCCCAGTTTAGACCCACAAGACTCCCAGAGATTAAGATTAAGCAAAGTGTGCATAAAAAGGGATTTACAAACCCACAAGGAGAGAAGTCACTATGAGTGAAGAACTAGCAAGAATAAGAAATAAGATTTAGAGTACCCCTCCCCAAGGGTGGCAGAGGTTGGACTGTCAGATTCAGAACTGTGTTCTGAATTGGACTGAACTGTGTCCACCCAATCTTTGAATGTTGAAGCCCTAGCTCCCAGTGTGGCTGTATCTGGAGACAGGGTCTTTAGGAGGTAATTGAGGTTAAATGGAGTTAGAGTAAAAAGGCCCAATTGACAGTTACAAAGAGTCAAAGAAAATTTCAACAGCAGCCACGGAAGCCTGAATCACACGGCAAACATCTTCAAAGCGTTGAGAGAAAATACCTGTTAACCTGGAATTTTCTACTCAGAGGGAAAATGTCTTTAAAAGATAGAGGTCAATTATAGAACAAAATTTAAGAGAACTGCTCTAAATGAAAGTCTTTTAAGGAAAAACCTTTGGAGACACTGGGATGCAAGAAAGAATGGTGGACAAATAAAATGGCAAACGTGAGTAAATACAAGCACCGTATAAAGTAATAATGTCAAACGTATGGGCTTAAAGAGACAGAACTAGACAACAATTATTTAAAATGGGAGACAAAATGAAAGTAAAGTCCTTGTGAATTTTGGGAAGGAGGTCAAGATAGCTTTCTTGAAAAAGAGAGAAAGCAGCTCTTTTTCTCATGATCTTCTCTTTGTCTTAGGCCTCTGCAACCTAGACATGGCATGAAGATATTTTTATTTATCCACTCTAGGCCTGGGTGAGGTTGGGCTTCCCGGATCTATGGGTTCATGTTTCTTATCAGTTTTAGAAAATTCGTAACTTTATCTCATAAGCATTGTCTTTGATTCTCTCATTTTTCTCCTTTTGGAACTTCATGTAGACCTGTGTTAGACCGTTTCATCCTGTCCTACAGGTCTCTTAACGTCCCTTCTATTTTACCCATCTTCTTATCCTTTTATGTTTTATTGTTGCTTCATTTCTGGATATACCTTTCAGTTCACTAATTCTCTTTTCAGCTGCATCTAATCTGGCATTTAACTGTCAATTGAGCCTTTTAATTCAATGACTATATTTTTTATGTAGACTTTTTTTTTCAAGCTTACTTGTCCATCCCAATAGTTTCTTGATACATGTTTATCTTTGTAATGTTATCCTTTGTTTCTTTAAACGTTTCATATGTAACCGTTTCAATGGTGGCCACAGGCAAGAGAAGGGGAGCAGTCCACCTTAGCAGGAAGGAGTACTTTACACTGTTGAATGTTAATGTCTGAACTCAAAATGACAAGGTGTTTACAACTGATTATTCTGTGTGGTATATATATGGGTGTTTGTGTATTATTCTCTCTACTTTCCTCTATTTTAAAAACTTGGGAAGACAAAAGAAAAAGAAAGGACAGAGAGGTCCCCCAGGAAGTTTATCATAACTAGCTTTCTCGGGCAGCCCCTCAGGAGAGTGGTGGTAAAGCCTCTCTTCTCCTTGGAGTTTCAGGAAAAGTAATTCAGGATCTTTCTTCATTTTTATGGACCTCGCCTATCTTCCAAGTCGGCAGCTCACCAAGGTCCCCACAAGCGTGTGGAGAGAAGCCAGCCCTCGACCTTGCCTGGGCACCTTACCGTGTCTAGCTCCGACTCCAAGCTGCAGTTTTTAATGTGCGGGAACACCTCGCTGTATTTGCTTGGGTAGGCGGATGCAAGGTAGCCCTTCACCTCCTCCAGGTTGCTGGCCGTCAGAAAGCCATCTTCAAGGTCAAAAGTGTTGGTCAGCAGCAGACTCACCCTGCAGAGCAGACCATCGGATCGACCTTCACTGATCAGAAAGGCAGCTGTCGCCAAAGCCTCCCGTCAGCCTCTTCTTCTCTGATTAGGTGAGGAAAGGGAATCTGTTGCTTGGTGATCTTTTAAAGGGCAGGGTAATTTTGAATGGCACTGAAGCCTGAGATACGAACAGTGATGACAACAGGCAGCAAACGCACACAGCTAGGCTATTTTAACCTCGCACCAACACAGTCCAGAAGTTTCTGTGCCGATGAAAATATTCTATCTGCGCTGTCCAGTCTGGTACTCACTGGCCACATATGGCGACGGATCACTTGAAGGTGGACACTGAGCAACTAATTTAAAGTAACATGGAAATGTGCTCAAATGTGAATTAAGTTATTTACATATGAATTAAGTAGCATTGATTTAAATTTAAATTGCAAATAGCCACTTGTGGCTAGTGACTACCAAACTGGATGGCATACCTCCTGGACGATGTCTTTGTATTTTGGGCAAGGGGCCACAGAAAGTGAATTCTGTCATCTCTGAGGCTCAGCTAGAGACTTCTTGGTTACTTTTGAGGTGGGGGAAATAGGGTAGAAGAAACGAAGTTTGATTGTCATATGTCCTATTTTGCTAAGTGTTTGCAACACGTTAAAGTGCCCTCATCCCTACTAGGCAGATATTGACATGCCCCAGGCCCCCCAGCACATGGGTGGTGGTGTGGGTGTCTGAATTGAGGACTCCAAAGCTGGTACACTTTGCCCCAGCCCTTGCCCAGGTGACCCTTCAGCTCAGAGCTCTGGGAGGCCTGGGACTCGGTGGGACAGCCTGGGCTTACTTCCTCAAGCAGTTTTCATAGTTGAAGGTGGCCTTGAAGCCGTAGATGGAGAAGGTGACGATGCTGGCAAATATGGAGGTGGAGCTGTTGATGAGGGACACGATGATGGCGTGCTTCTGGCAGTTGCTGGATGGTTCATTGTAGCTGGCGAAGGCGATCAGGCTGCCGAAGCCCAGGCCGAGCGAGAAGAAGATCTGGGTGGCTGCGTTGATCCAGGCCTTGGGGTTGGTCAGCTGCTCCATCTGGAAGGCCAGCAGGGACAGGGCTGATGAGCCCTGGGTGGGATCCCAAACACTTAGACCCGCAATCGGAGAGTGGCTCAGGGAGGGGAAGGAGCTCGCCTGCAGCACGAAGCTATCACAGGCAGGCCTCGGGCTGGAGCCCAGCTCTCCTTGCTCTGTCCACTCTCTGGCAGATGAAATGCCCAGCTCAAGCTGCACACCTCCCATGACTAAGGTGCTGCAGAGCATACAGGTGCTATGTGGAGGATGTAAGGTGCTACATATCCTCCACAGCACCTCAGCCATAGGAGGCGTGTAACTGAAAGCAGCCATGCTCACCGCTGTACACCAGGGCGGAGGTATGCAATGGAATACTGCAAGGTAAAATAAAACACACATGGAGCCCTGATTCATAAGCAGGTACTGCACAGGTCTGGGCATTCAGAGATGGAGGTGGGGTGGCCTGGCATCTCGGCATTGACATCAGGGGGCATTTGGAATGGGGATGGGGGGAGGATGACACAGTCATTTTGTTTCCAGGGGCTAGATTTGCTAAATGAAGAACTTGCACCATCCCAAAGGCAAGAGAGCACCTTCAATGGATGAACCCTGGCTGGGGGGGTGCAGGGAGAGTGGGGGGATTGGGAAGGGATGGCAGGAAACCCTGTAGGAAAACGGGTGCATGGACTCGTGTGAGCAGGCAAGCAAGATGACTGGAGCAGTGCTCATGGTAAACAGCTTGGTCCACAGTCTGGAAGGGGCTAGGGGTGAGGCGAAGGGGCAGCAGCTGGGGGCAGTGAGGATGGAGAGAGGCTGAAAGAAAGACTTAATGCTCCAGAATGAACAGGGAGTGGGGACGACCTGGCTGAGGAGGTGATCCAGCAACTGCAGGTACTCCACGCTCCCGCCACACCCTGGCGGGCTCACATCAGCTTCCCTGGGTACAGCGTTGGCCCACGCTCCATCTTTCCCTCTTCCCACCCATCCTGGAAGGTGGCAGGATGAGTGAGGGGCGCCCTTAGGGCCCTTCCGCTTCAGCCCATACCTTGGGAGTAAACATGTACATGAGACCGTTGGTGGCTCCGTGGAGCGTGAGGCCCCTGACGAGGTAGATGATGAGCACGCAGTAGGGCAGTGACGCAGTGAAATACACCACCTGCAGGCATCAGAGGGCAGAGTCAGCCTCCCAGGCGGTGGGGTCCACAGGGCAAACCCATGCCCCATGGAACACCGCCACGTCTGGGACATTCAGGCTGCACCGCCCAGCTGCTGACAGCTGGAAAAGGCATGGAGATTGTTGGTCCCACACAGGCTCTGGGTTAAGCCTGGAGAAATGGGCTGGTGGGATGTGGCTGCTCACAGCTGTGACCACCAAGACATTTCTTATTGAGTAGAGAAGAGACAAACAGGCACCAAGGCTCTGCCTTCCACCCTCCCTTCAACCTGACCTTATTCAAGAACCGATTTGAGGCTACCCGCAAAAGCACATCAGTCACGTTAACATGCATGAAAAAAAATATGGGCAACCCAGTAATGAGCCCACAGGAAAAAGCAGCCCACAGAATCTGTGCGGGAGTCTCTACCCAGTTTCTGAGCCAGATTTGACTCTGAGCTTCCTGGTAGCCACACAAAGCAGAATATTAAAAGCCAAAAAAATCTGGAGCTTGGAGAAGGACAGGTTTCCCCAGGATTGGGGCCTGAGAGCAGATTGGTCATGAGGGCTCATGTAGGAAAGCAATGACTTGTAGAGTAGAGGACAGTGTCCCCATAAGCAATACAATAGGAAATCCAGATCTGATTTCTATGGCAACCCTGCAGAAAGGGGTCAGTTCCTTGGGCTTTAACATTACACCTGAATGAACGTTTTTGTCAACCCAATCTTCTTTCTCCACTGACATGCATCGTAAGTTTAATAATGTTTTGTTAATATCTTTGGTGTTCATAATGGCTTTAGTAGTCACCTGTCATGCTCTGGGTGATTCTTACTGTTACAAAGCCACAGAATACAGACCTTCAAGTGCATGTGTGCCCAGCCAGGAATGGAATTTTTTCTGTAAATCAGTTCCTATACGTACCACAGCCTCATTTGTAAAGCAAATAAATATTTTGCAAGATTGACTTTTGTGTAAGAGTTCCCTTAAGGTTTGAGTCTCTCTGTGAGAAATGTGGCTGATGACCCATGTTCAGGTGGGCTTGATTCACACTTGGCCCTCCCTTCCCACTGAGGTGTGGCGTCAGCTTCTTTCCATTTCCAAGGCTGCCAGGTGGGCACTCTGTGCCCGTCACCCAGGGGATGGCAGGCGGAAGGTGGGGTGTGTCTTTTATCATTGCTTCTTAGCTGAGGTCGTTTTAACTTGAGTAATAAATCCACCCAAGATTATAAGAAAATAGATCAGGTAAGAGATAGAGATGGATAATGAAAAGACAGGGCACTCACCAAGGGACAACAGCAGGGAGGGGTGACCAACATTCATCACAACTGGCACTAAGCAGGCCCTTAGGGCCAACCCCAGAATTTCCCTCCTTCCTGTCAGGTGAGCAAATCTCCTGGAGGCTCATGGAGTCCCCAGCAAGGTGGCTTACTTCTCCCCAAGTGGGCAGAATTGCGGGACACATGATCCAGCCTAACCTATTAGAAGAAACCAATTCTGACCACTCTACAGAGATTCTGGCAGGAAACAAAGGTGATTCCAACGGTGGATGCCAGGAAATGGCACATGGTCTGTGACAAGATTAGCTCCCTGTATGTAGAGCTGTTGGGGCACTTTTGCCATGGAGAAAGGTGTGGCTGAAGCAGAGAAAATAGGTAAGAATAAATAAGTTTTGATGGTATGACATGGTCTAATGTAACACATTTCTGAGAGATCGGGAAAAGGAATGGTCTCTACTCTCCGTATCTGCAGATGTTGTCTTCAGATCTTTGGATCACATTCATAATAATCTGGCAAAGATAAATTACCAAAACATTTTTTATGAGCATGAAAGTATGACCAGGCTCTACGACGGGGCTGAGTGGGCCGCTGCAGGTTGTAAGCTCTCCCAGGGAAAGAGCGTCTGTACTGACTCAGCCCTCTCCTTAGCCATGGCACAGGGCCTTTGGGGACTAAGAAGCTGGCCATCAGGGGGCCTTGGAAACCAAAATAAAATGTCCTACCAGGCATGGTACGGGAGTTGTCCTATGGGCCCTGGAATTCCATGGGTAGCTCTGGCTTAAAGCCTAAGAAATACATGAGGAGTGGGGCGCAACTGGAGCAGGCAACTCAGGTAGTCGGAGGCTGAGGACAGGTGGGCGCCTAGGACTTTCAGCAGGTAAAAGCTGCAACTTATTACATCACTAACGGCATAGATAGAGCTATGTTGCTACCAAACCAAGGCAATGGGAAGTCCTGGGGTGAGGCTGGGCTCTGCCCCCACTAGCTGTGCCCTTGCGCAGGTCAATTTACCTCTCTAAGCTTCAGGTGAGTGGGACCATGAAATCTACCATGAAAGGCTGTTGCCAGAATGAGACACTATGGGTGCCCAAGCCATGGTGGGTCTACTTCGAGAAGGGACAGTGAATGAGAACGGGCGTGTGAGGCTCCAGGACATCTGCAGAAGCGTCAGGCAGGTGGCCAGTGACGGGAACACTGAACGCAAACCTTCTATGTGGAGCAGACTAGAGCTGAAGGAACATGTCGGCCCCAGTGAAAGTGTGAGCCTCGGGACCCACCAAGAAAGGATTATGGAGATCAAGCCCGACAGCTCTGGCGAGAGATTGGCAGCAGCTTAGAACAAAGGGTCTCAAACCCAGCTGCACATTAGAATCACCTGGCAACTTTTAACATCCGTGTCCCACACCCCAAGTGGTCAGGGCACACCCCAGACTGATTACTGTAGAACTTTGGGGCAGAACTAAAGCATGAGATTTTTAAAGCTCTCCAGAAAATACCAATGTGCAGCTGAGTTGGAGAGCCAGTGGGCAGGGTGTCCTGGGTCATGTGCAGTCTTAAAGAAAAGCAAACTCACTGTCTGGTTGCATGGGTGGTATGGATTTGGGGCTAGCTTGTACAGAAAAACTCGTGTGTGTGTGTAAGAGAAAGTCCTTGTTTTGGGATTTAGGGTTGCAACTTTTTTTTTTTTTTTTGGAGACGGAGTTTCGCTCTTGTTGTGCAGCCTAGAGTGCAGTGGTGCGTCATCTCAGCTCACCACAACCTCCGCCTCCTGGGTTCAAGCAATTCTCCTGTCTCAGCCTCCTGAGTAGCTGGGACTACAGGCACATGCCACCATGCCCAGCTAATATTTTGTAGTTTTTTTAGTAGAGATGGGGTTTCACCATGTTGACCAGGATGGTCTCGATCTGTTGACCTCGTGATCCACCCACCTTGGCCTCCCAAAGTGCTGGGATTACAGGCGTGAGCCACCGCGCCCAGCCTAGGGTTGCAACTTTAACCACCTCTGGCCCTCTCTAGAGTCATCTAGTAGGTGACTTGTGCCAGCAACACCATCTGTGCCCTCTGCCCCAACATAGCTGCTGCCTCTCCACTGCAGAGGGCACTCCCTTGGCATTGCCCAGGGCTGGAGACAGAGGCAGCTGCCCCTCGGCACACCCCCCCACCCGCCAGGAGCCCCAGGCATCCATGCCTCGCTGTCCCACCTTGCCAGTGGACTCGGTGCCACGCAGGATGCACAGGTACACCACCAGCCAGGCCAGGAGGAGGCACAGCGCCGGCTCCCACTGCACACTCCCGTTCTCCTGGATGGACGGCGAGATGTTGAGGGTTTTCCTGTACCAGAAGTACTGTGTGGAGGACGCCTTTTCACACTCCTCATCGTAGCCCGTGCGGTTACCATTCAGTGGGCAGACAGACCACGGCAGGGGATCCTGTGGGACCAAAACAAGTGTTATCCAGAGAGGTGAGGGCTGAGGACAAAGGCTACGGCAGTGGTGATGGAGGTGGCCCTGGGCGGAAGCTCTTGGAAGAGAAGGGTGCTGGTCCACAAAGGGCAGGTGGCTGGAGCCCCCGAAGGCAGAGCAGGAGTCAGAGAGTTAGTCATGAGGCACTGGTGAGGCAGGAAAGGGTTGGAGGAGGGGGCTCCACTCTCGCTGCAGTTCTACAGGTGTTCCTTAAGGACTACTGAACTCCGTGGTGGGTCTCAGAGACTGAATAGCAAATGGACAACAGCCGGGCCAGCTGTGATGATGGAATTCTGACCCACAACCTGTGCACAATCAGCTCACTGAAGCCACGCCCTCGGCAGCACTAGCCCAGATTGCACAGGACTTGGTCAATGACTGGGACAGCCTGTATTTTTTGCCAACTCAGAACTAACCAGAGAAAGCCAAATACACTCCCCTATAACCAATCACGTAGGATGCACCACTTCTGATTGGCCAGCTCACAGCTCCCTGCATGCCAGCAGCCTCCTGTGGGGCCCACCTGGAGCCTTTCCTTTTCTCACTAACAAGCTTTCCCTTCTCCTGCCTGCCTTGGAGTCCCTGCCAAATGCAAGCGATGCTGCTGCCTCCCTTACTGTAGCAAGCCCTAAATAAACAGCCTCTGCTTGTTCTCACTTAGCTGGTCTTTGTTGATTTCTACAAGGCCCTAGCAAGTCCTGGGATGCATAAGTCTCAGGTTCTGTGCTCACTAAGTGGTGGTGGCAAATGGCATTTCCTGCAACACACATTGGGTTTGGAAGCCCTCACAGCTGTCTTGCCTGTCTGAGCCCGTGTAGTAGTGACTTCTTTGAGCTCAAGTCAAACTCAGCTGAAGCACTTAGACTCCTGGACTTTGCAAGGTGGAGCCAGGAAGACTCTCATCTGCTTCAGCTACTCTGAATTGGACTCTCTGTCACTTATGAACAAAGGAGCCTCCGTGGTGCATGCATCGTGACCATGACCCAAGGCCGGTGCTGAGCTGGGAGGGAGGGCAGAAAATTCTGACTGGAGGGTAGGATGCTCCAGCCCTGCTCTTTGAAGACCAGCCCCACAGTGATCAGTTTTGCACATATCTGGGTTCTACAAGGCCAGGTTTCATTAGACAAAAAGGCACCATTAATGGAAGCAAGTCTGACCACCTCACTAGGCTCAATCCCATATTTCACAGGAAACAGAACCAACGCCCAGAGGTATCACCTGGTGGGTCATGGCTACTGTACCAGTTGGCAACTGGAGTCCAGGTCTGTGCACCCAGGCAGTGCTTGGGACTGTGCTGGTGGGGACCTCCATGCCCACCCCTGCAATACCTCCCCAGAGCTACCCTTGCCTACTGGAATGTGTGAGCTGGTTTCTTGCTTTGGCCCATATTGTGCTCAATGCTGGCTGCCAACAGTCCCTTCCCTCCCGATATGTACATTTCTCTCATCCAGAAGTGGCCTCTCCTGCCTCACCCTGTGAGTCCGGGCTGGCCTCTGACGCATGCTGACCAACAGAACATGGTGAAGAGATGCTGTGTGAGTGACTTCCCGGCCCCCACCTTCACAGCCCTGTAGCTGGCCTCTCACCCTCTTGGAGACATCCAGGCTAGCTTCCTGAATGATGCAAGTGCAGGGAAAGCAAGGCCATGTGGAGGGAACTGAGGTGCCCAGGGGCAGCCAGCACCAAGTCCCAGGCAGGTGAGAGGGGTTCTAGACCTGAAGCCCAGTTGAGCTGCCCCGGCTGACACCCGCTTGGGTCATTTACAGCCTGTGTGGGACTGCGTTCGCTGGACCACCTACTGATGCCAGCCAGCCCAGGCCTGCTTCCCAAGCTTGGCTACACGACTAAGTCACCCAGGGGTGATGCCCAGGCTGCATCCCTAGTGACTCGATTTCATCTGTTTGAGGAAGGGCCTGGTCATTGGATTTTTGAAGCTCCCTGCCCCCAACAACAACTTCATCTCCGCAGTATGCAGCCAGGGTGAAGAAGCTTTAGAGTATAGGAGAACTTGTTAAATGGGCCAGTTCCCAGTCTGACCTCCCTCACCCACCTCTGAACCAGCAGGTGAGGACAGGGATCACTGCATCTGCGTGGATAACAGCCCAGGTGCTCCTGCATGAGGCTGGGAAGCCTGGCCAGGGAGTGAGAGGACAGGAGCACAGACTCCGGGGCCAGGTGCCTGAGTCCAGCTCCACCAGCAGCTCCTCAGCTCCCCTCTGCTCGGGTGCTCAGTGCACTCAGCCTTGGGGGTGGCTGTGATGATTACATAAGTGAACACTTCTAAAGTGCTGGGACCTCTGTCTGGCCCAGAGCACATGTAAGTGAATGTCTGTAGCTACTATTCCTCTCATTATTATGGATCAAATAGCAGAGGAGGGCTTCAAAGTATAGGGACTAAGGGATAAGTCCACAGACCTATGAAGGATGAAATGAATGAATATTTAAGTGATTTTCATGAATAGCTGGCCCCCATACTTCTGACTATCAGAAAAAGGTGCCCTGTTCTTGAGGCACTTTATTTTTGCTTTTGGCAGATGATCAAATTATTCTGATTTTGTTAGGACAAGACATATTGCTTCCACTTTTGGAAACTTGTCTTAATAAGTATACCAATCTATAATGCCTACAATGCGTATGGCAAGCCCTTAGTTGGGGATACTGTTGTGCAGTTTACAACCTGCCCAACTATACATGGCAGCCCTGCACAGAAGTCAGGAAACAGTCACCAGCCTGTAGAGTAAGAAGTGTTGCCCTGTTTCCACTGAGAAGGCTGGGGAAAGGCAGAGTTGTGGCCAGAGTTCATGAAACTCTAGGTTGAACCAGGGGAAGAAGAAGGGACTGCGACTAAGCTCAGGGTGCATCTTTCTTGCAAGAGATATGTGCAATGGGGCAGGCTGGGTGGAGCTCACTGGGAAGTCAGAGTGGGGTGTGTCAAATCAGGATTACTGAAGTCATTCACCCAAGCATTCCTCAGGGCCCCACAGAGTCAAGCCTATGCCCATGCACCCCAGAGGCAAACCCGGTTCAGTCCATAGTCCATGCCAGCCCTGTCTTGCTGTGGACCCTGGGGACAGGCATGTCCCATGAAGGCCTGGCTCAGGGGCAAAGGGTAAGGCATTGGCCTCATTTGCTCCTGTCTCCTCCTCTGTTCCCAACTGGGAAGAAGCCAAGATGAAGGTGGATCCTGGAAGCAGGTGGGGGTGTTGGGGGATGGAGTTCCTGAGGGTGAAATGGCAGGAGCCAGGGAACAGAAATGAGCATGGGCAGCGGAGAGGAAAATTCCTCTTGTCCTGGATACAACACCAGCTCTGTGCGAAATCGGAGCTGTGGCTTCTCTACCATTTCCAGCTCCTTCCACATTTTCTACAGAGTGTCAGCTATAGTCATCATCAGAAATGCGTCGCTTAAAATGTTTAGGAATGGTCCTATTGTGTGACAGGGTGACAATGGTCCTGCTAAGAGAACTTGGGGGTTTTCAGAGAAAAGGAGAGGCTCAGGCTGGAGTCAGGAACCTGGAAGCAGAGGTGACCCTGCAGAAGGCGGGAGGAGGGGACAGGGAGGAGGAGGGCAGGCCATCGCTGTCTTGCTGGATGGAGGGAACCCCTCCCTGTCAGTCCTCTCCGTAGATTTCCTCCTGGGCCCACTGTGCAGTGGTTCTTAATAGTGTGTGTGGGGGGTCGGTCACATCCATCAGAAAGAGTCTGCTGAAAGCCATGGGCCTGCTCTCCAGAAACATGCACACTCACACCGGTGCACTCTCCCCTACAGTGTAAGGGGCCCATGGAGCCCGGTTCAGAAGCCCTCCACATGGTTTGGGGTGCACGGCTTCCCCCCTACCTCGTACCACCCACTGGCTCCCCCCAGGCTGCTCATCTTGCCCCACATCTCCTCCCCCAAGTGGGTGGCCCTGCCTTCCTCTCCCTTTCTCACCCCCCCTCCTGTTCTGACACGGGCCGCAGCTCACCTGGAAGGAGTGGAAGAGGTACCAGAAGGCCCACGCGTTGATGACATTGTAGTACATGGAGAGGAAGAAGGAGACCATCACGCTGGCGACCCCTGAGAGGAAGCAGAGGGCCGCACTGAGGACGGAGCCGGGCCCAGCATGTGCTCCCAGGACGCACCTGCAGCGACGCGATTACCCCAGGAGCAGTGAGGCCTCCCTCACCAGGTTTGTGTGGTTGTATTAAACGAGACCAGGCACCTGTGACCACTTCGTACAGGTGAGTTCTTTCTCTTCAACCTCCCTCCTCATCTTCTAGGACAGGAGGCTGATGGCGTGTTTTTGAGATCTAACTGCCAGGTACTGTGTTAAGTAAGTACTTTACGTGTCTTTGGACCTTACAACAGTATTATCTTCATTTCACAGAGGAGAACGCTGAGGCCTGGAGCCTGCCCAAGACTACCCAGCTGGTAAGTGGCAGAACTGGGTCCACAGCCTCATGCTGTGAGAAGCGCTGTTCCTGTCAAGTGCCACCTTGTGCCAGATGTACAGTTATGCTCCCTCCTTGGCTCACCTGTGGTTGAGTCACCTGGTGGCCGGAAGTGGGGTGTGGAGGGGTGTGGAGGGGGCTGCCCATAATTCTGTTGGGCCTGCACAAAACCCAGGGTGGGGCCTGAGAGCAGAGAGAGGGGTGAGAGCCAGCAGGGATCTGGGGCTAGCCCACATCAGCCCTTGAGAAGCAGCGTCCCCTCCCCTCCCCTCCCCTCCCCAACCTCACGTGCTGGGACATTCAGTAGTAGAAACGGGCCACAGTGCACGCATTTTCCCCACAGGCATCAGCAAACGCTACAAACCAGGGCTTCCTCCCCACTCCTACTCCACTCCAAGAGCTGGCTGTTAAATATTCACCAGCATCCCCTGGCTGGCACAAACACCTGGTATCTTTCCTATGATGCAGCAGGTGCCTCTGAGAAGTCCTCTGTGATTGATTACTCAGGCAGATTGTAAAACCACACACTTCCATGTTAAAAATTAATAGCCACTCAAAACAAGGAGGCAGCTGGGGTTTGGAGATGATTTGTGAGAACACTGGACACATTTCTTCTGCATCTGCAACCAGGCCACGTGCAAGCTTCCACCCTCCCTGCTCCTGAAACATGCCTTCCTTTCTGGGGCAGGAGGGGTGAGCATTACAGCTATGGCCACGCTTAGTTAGGGTTCCTCCTGCGTGCAGAGGCAGCCCTGGGTCATAAGCGATGCGCAGGGCAGGTTGAGGATGTCCTGGAAGTGCCTGGGACCCCAGCTCAAGGTCACTCAGGAAGCATGAGATGAAGAAGTCCCCTCGTGCTGTCCGTGCGGGCCTCAGCCTCCACACCCCGGAGACATTAATGGCACTCCACAACCCCTCAGTGGTGTGAAGAAGATTAAATGAGCTCATGCACATATAACCTATAGGCTGGTTTTGAGCACATAGTAGGTGCTTACTAAAAGAGAGAGCTGTTATTTAGCAGGGAGCAGTTGGGTGAGTTTCCAGAATGGTTATTAGCTAGAACTTGGAGTTACAGCTCTTTCCCTTTTACAGGTGACCAAGCTGAGGTCCAGCGAAGAGAGGCAGGGTGGCATCTGTTCCCCAGGGGGCACGCATCCTCCCTGTCTCACCGCCCTGTCGGTAGGAAACCCAGTTCGTCTCAGCCCACATTCTATGGCATCCCACTAGGCCATTTGTTCACCCTGGGCAAGGGCTGTCTCTTGGGCCTTGTGCTTGCCCCTTGATGCAGCTGCTTTGCTGATGAGTTCCCACCCCCACCCCCATGCTGTCCAGGTCTCTGGGTGAGAGAGAACTGGAGGGGCCCCACATACCGACACCACTGAGGTACGGGCTGATGGTCCTAAAGGCGCCGATGCTGCCCTGCCGCATGCGCTGCCCCACAGCCAGTTCCAGGTACAAGAGCGGCATTCCTTCCACGATAAGCATGATGATGTAGGGGACCAGGAAACTACCTGCGGGCGTCCAGAGCTGAGAGCCAGGCCACCACCAGAGGGCTTTTCTCCACCGCCACTCAATGTCTGTGCAAACATCCTCCCATCCTCCTGTCTTTTCCACTTGTCCATGCATCCTCCTGCGTTTCCATCATCCATCCTCCTCTTTCTACTCATCCTTCATCCTTCTGTCTTTCATTCCACATTTGCATCCATCCCTCCTGCTGCCATTCCTCTCATCTATTTGTCTGCCATTCATTCATTTACTTTCCATCCTTCCATCCATCCATCCTTCCATCCAACCATCCATTTATCCAGCCATTCTTCCACATATCTTACATCCTTCCATCTATCCATTCTACATCCATCCATCCTTCCGTCCATCTACATTTCCATTCCTTCCATTTATCCATCCACATTTCCATCCTTTCATCTATCATTCCTACCATCCATCCACCCTTCCATGCATTCTTCCATCCTTCCATCCATCCTTTCATCCTTTTATCTTCCTGCTCATCCATCTGTCTGTTCGTCCATCCATCCATGGATGACATATAGTCATGTGAGTTGTTAAACTCTTTAAATTCATCCTCCCCGAGAGGCAAACTGCCACTGTCCCAAGTTGCTTGAGTGCCTTTCTGAATGCCTCCACTGTCCCATTCCTTCTCCCAAACCCCACTTTTCATCTTCTATTTCAGCAACTAATGACTGATCAGGGCCAACACAATTGCACCATTAAATATTTGAACACCATGCCTGGATCCATGCATCCAGCTGTCCACCTCTATGCACTTCCTTTGGGCTTTGTGCACAGACCCGATGGTGCTCCACATGAGGCAGTGTATGAAACAGACACTTAAAGCACTTACTCTTGGCCAGGCCCTAGCTGGTGTGGAATGGGAGAGCAGCAACCTGCCCTTGAGGTTCCCTGCTGTTGGTGATGGTGGGGAGCCAGGAAGTATGAATTTTGCCAGGGTGAACCTAACAAAATGTCCAGCGGGAAAAGAAGGCAGGACTTCTGATCAAATAAAACCCAGACACTACAACTGCAAAGATTAAGAGCTGGTTACAGAGCAAACTGGATCCTCAGTTGTTAAGGTAAACAACAAAATAACTATACTTACATGAACATCTAATATTTACTAAAAGTGTCTCCATTGTATGCACATGCTGTCCTGTAACACACTCTTCTCACCCTACATCACTCCTCAAGCAGTCGCCCAATCACAGACCTTTGCATCACCCCTTAAAGAGCTGCATGACATTCCACTCTGAAAATGAGCCCAGAATATTGAAATATTGATTAGACACCAATTGAGTGTCTAATCAATTGTTAGACACTCAGGCTGTTTCCCGTTTTCGGCCATCCTACAAAAGCTGTGAAACAAAGCCTGGTCCACTTGTCTGTGTATTTCCTTGGGATACAGATCCCAGAAGTGGAATGGCTGAGGCAAAGATGAGGCAGAGCCCCCATGGCCACGCCACAGAAAGAAAGGCACAAGCCGCCTGCATGAAAGAATGAGTGCCCACACCACCAGGCGAGCCGAGTTCCTAGCTTCGTCCTGCTCATGTGGGAGACTAGAACAAATCCTGCCCTCTCATGTCCAGACTCTGCCATAACTCCTCTAGGTCAGGTGGTCTTCCTTCCCTTCAGAACCTTGTCTCAGCACCTTGTGAGTTTCCTCTCAATATCGAAGGAGTCCAAGAAGTCATCAGTTGCTCTCACTTATGAAATATCTGATAATGACTTTGGAGCTACATTCAAATCTTCAGTGGTTATAAGATAATCCTGTTTTCACCCAGGGTGTTACACAGTAACTAGTGAAGTCCTGGTAAGGTCCAGGGACAACTGTCTCTCTGACAGAGCCTGACTGCCCAGTGCCCATGGGCAGGGTGGAAATCCAAAACCTGATGCCAAGATGGGAACATGAGGGCTGCCTGGCCCTAGGCATCAATCATTTCTATCTCTCCTGACCCACACATTCCAAGAAACACATAATCCAGGCGAGTTTGCTCTGCAATAAATTTTTCAAAAAATTATGCTAGAACAGTTAAACATCCATATGCAGAAAAATGAAACTCAACCCATATCTCGCATTTATACCAAACAAATCTCAGAACGAATCATAGACCTATATGTACAACAAAAAGCTATAAAACTTATGCAAGAAAACAGGAGAAAATCTTTACGACCTTGAGTTAGGCAAAGATTTCTTAAATACAATGTTAAAAGCACTGTTTGTGGAAAAAAATATTGATAAGTTGGATTTCATTACTTCTTTGTGAAAGACACTGTTAAGAGAATAAAAACACAAACTATAGACTGGGAGAAACTATGCAAAAAACACACATCTTGAGAAAAACTTTGTATCAAGAATACATAAAGGATTCTCAAAACCCAATAAGAAAAAGAAGCCTTTCAAAAAATGTGAAAAAAATGTGAATAGGCATTTTACCAAAGAATATCTGTCTTAGTCTATGCTGCTATAACAGAATACTAGAGAGTGGATAATTTGTAAAGAACAGAAATTTATTGGCTCATGGTTCTAGAGGCTGGGAAGTCCAAGAGCATGGTGCTAGTATCTGGACAGGGCCTTCTTACTGCATCATCCCATGGCAGAAGGTGGGAGGGCAACAGGGAGCAAGAGGGGGCTGAACTGCCTTTTATAACAAACCCACTCTCTCAATAATGAAACCACTCCCGAGATAATGCTATTAATCCATTCACGAGGCCAGACTCCTCATGACCCAATCACCTCTTAATGGTCCCTCCTCTCAACCTTGTTACCCTGGAGATTAAGTTTTCAACACATGAGCTTTGGAGGACATATTCAAACCATGGTAGGATGATTCCATTCACATAACGTTCTGGAAAAGGAAATTATAGGGACAGAAAACAGGTCAGTGGTGGCCACGAAAAGGGGAGTAGGAAGGAGCTGACTACAAGGGGCATGAGTTTGGTGGTGGTTGTGATGGTTATATTGAGTGTCAACTTGATTGGATTGAGGGATGCGAAGTATTGATCCTGGGTGTGTCTGTGAGGGTGTTGCCAAAGGAGATTAACATTTGAGTCAGTGCGCTGGGGAAGGCAGACCCACCCTTAATCTGCATAGGCACAATCTAATCAGCTGCCAGTGAATATAAAACAGGCAGAAAAAAGTGAAAAGGTGAGCCTGGCCTAGCCAACCAGCCTCAATCTTTCTCCCATGCTGGATGCTTCCTGCCCTCAAACATTAGACTCCAAGTTCTTCAGTTTTGAGACTCAGACCTTGCTCTCCTTGCTCCTCAAGTGTGCAGACAGCCTATTGTGGGAACTCGTGATCATGTAAGTTAATACTTAATGAAATCCTCATCTATCTATCTATCTATCTATCTATCTATCTATCTATCTATCTCCTATTAGTTCTGTCCCTCTAGGGAACCCTAAAACAGTAGTAATGCAACTACATGCCTTAAAGGCATGTGTGGAGATTAAATATGGCCACACATTCTTCAGCACTTCTCCCATGAAGAGGTGGAGTCTATTCCCCACCCTGTGAGGCTGGCCTTGGGGCCTGCTTTGTCCAATAGAATGCCGTGTCCATGTGGGCCCCAGAGCCCGGGCATCAGAACGCCTTGCAGCTTCGCCTTCCTCCTCTTGGAATGTGCCTGAGACAGCCACCCACAGATGCCGGACCAGGCTCTAGAGGATGAGAGGCCATGTGGAGGAGAACCGAGGGAGCCCAGCCAGCTCCGCGCCCACTGCCAGGTGTGTGAGGGACCTAATGGCTGCGTGAGCAAGGCCAGACACAAACAGCACAGGAACAGCTCAGGCGCCCGCAGAACTGTGAGAAATGATTAATTATTGTTGCTTTAAGGCAGTAACTTTTTTTCTTTTTACCTCTCAATATTTTCAGTGTGTATTTCCAAAAACAAGAAAGTTCTCTTATGTAACCCCAGTGCAAAGAGTAAAATCAGGGAATTCACACCAACCTCGAACGATTATTTTATCAAAGCCCTTTTGGAATTTTCCTGACTGTCCCACCGATGTCCTCGAGGCATGCAGGCTGCAGCTCACAAGCACACAAGGCCTCAGCTGTCAGGTTTCTTTAGTCTCCTTGAATCTGGGACAGCTCCTAAGACATTTTTTTTCTGCCTTTCTTTGTCTTTCATGACCTTTCACAATGCTTTAGAGGAGCACCGGCCATTACTCTGTGGAATGTGCCTCATGTTGGGTTTTGGCAGAAACATTAAAGTGATCCTGCATCCTTGTCCAGAGGCACAAGATGTCGATGTGCTCCATCCACGGTGCTGTAGGCCTTGCTTGCTTGGTGGAGGTGGTGTCTGCTGGATTTCCCTGCTGGGGGTTACCACTCTCCGCTTTGAAATGATTATCTTCTTGGAGATATTCTGAGCTTCAGTAACTATCCTGTTTCTCATACTTTCGCCCAAGAGTTCTGGCATCCAGTGAAGATTCTTGCCCAAAACAATCATTGCTACATTGGTTGCCAGATGACGATTTTCTATTTCCACCATTCCTTCTAAGTCCTGGAGTATTTGAGTGGTTTGTCCTGAATAAATAGGTAACTGAGGCACACACTGAGCCCTGCAGTAATGTCTCTGCCACTGTGAGTCTACATGACCCCAGATGAGTGAGATGCTTACAGTCACAGGATTATTAGGGAGGTGCAGACTCCGCTCAGCCTGGTGAATCACCGCCTCCCCTGCCCCCACCATCACACCTCCACTGCACTGCCCTCGAGGCAGGTCTTCTTGATTCCACCCTACAGTCGCCTCCCTGCAGTTTTTTCTCAGATTGTGACACTCCTGCCTCCTCCGTCCCTAACTTCCCAACCGGTCAAACTTTCCTTGACTCCTACTTCCACCTGGACTCAAACCCACACTCCCTCCCTTGACCTCTGAGGCTTGGGGAACAGGGCTCCCGCCTTCCCCTCCCCGCTGCTGGCTTCTCTCCATCCACTGCAGTCGCACTGCGCTTCTTGCTGGTCTGGCCTCAGCACCTTGGTTCCCCAGAGCTGCCT